ATTGCCCTCACCTCACAAGATTCATCCCAAACCCAGCTAGCTAGCTATCAACATCTCTGACTTTTTTTTTCAATTCATTGCGATTTACTACATTTTACTTGTGCAAAAAAAGGGAGTCACAAAAAGCAGCAGCATGAAGAGATCAGATTAGCTAGGACTTCCTCCACTTTTCTTATTCACTTTCTATCGATTCATCTGTTTTTTCAGTGTTTTTACGCAAACATTTTGACATTTTTCACTCACTTTCTTCTTTTTCTTCTACACTTTCTACCATCTGTACTGTTTGGATGCTCTTTAATTTACCTAATTAGTAATTAATTACCTTCACTTTTTACTCAGTCAAGTGAAATCATGAGAGGAGTAGAAATAATCAATCAATTATCGATTTTTTACTCGTTGGATGAATACAAAACCACCCTATTTCACATCTCTATCATATTATAATTAATGTCCCGGCTCGTGGCAGACAGCAGGTTAGGACGTCGGGCCGGGAGCATGAGCTGACGGAGGCTTCAGGACATTTATGTTTTTGACTGTATATTTATTATGATGACTTACGCTTCCGCTGGCGATGTTTTGATGACGTTTGATGTACTTATATTTTGACGAACTTTTGGAAAATTTATGCTTTCAGTAACCGGAAGATTTTTTTTTTTAAAAATTAAATAACGGTTTTCCAAATTAAGTCACGATTTTAAGGTAGCACCCCGAATCAGTTTTCGCAAAGTAAAAAAGCTTTATTTTTAAATAACTTTGCGAAATTTTCGCACTCTGATTTTACGATAAGGAGGGGTGTTACAATTATCAAACCAGGGGCAATACGAGTGCGGTCCCACACAAGTGAAGCGCACCATAAGAGCATCTCCAATGGCTCGATGTGTATTTTGAGATGTATGATGTGGAGAAAGGAAAAGAAAATATTTTGTCTCCAATGGTTAATCTCAATTGTGAGATAATTTGACACATGTAATATAATAATTAGTTGGTAGAAACATAAATATAAAATAAATAATAGAATATTAAATGGAAGATATCACGTTGGATTTTGGAGGTTAGGTGGCAATGGAAAGAGAGCAATCCATGTACCATTGGAGATGCTCTAAGAGGGTTAGCCCAAATGAAGCCCAAGTGGGGTTCCATCCCAAAACCAATTGGTAGTAGGAGGAGTAGCCCACTAGGGTTATAAGTTAGGCCTATTTACCCTATCAAATCAATGTGAGACAACTCACAAGTGACATTCCAACAATAATCTTCCAAATTTTGAAAAAAACTTTCCTAAGTCCTTTTCATGATTTCACCAACCAACATCATTTCCATCTATTCTCATTTAATTGAGCTTTTTTTTTTTTTTT